GGCATGCGATTTCAGAAAAAGTCCGATTTTGTGTCAAAATGACTATATTAAAACAATGCTATATTATATTTGGCCTGTTCCATTTTTTGATCATAGGACCGGTTTGTGCCGGCTTAGAGGGTTGGAGCTGTGCCTTTATAATAATAATTATAACAATTTAATACATATCTTAAGTGGCGCTTTCGAGACATAAAAAACGCAAGTTGAATTTCGTCAACCGGCCCAGTAGAACGGGAGTTATAGAAATGTCCCATCTGTTTTTCGCACAGTGTACATAAAATGCAACGAGTGAATAAAAAGATGATACGTAAAATGAAAGACAAACAGTAAGGGCAGGATGTTATGACTGAATTTCTAGGATTGCGTCCGAAAATATAAGCTTTCAAAGTAAAGTAAAGATTGATATCTATTAAAAATGTAACAAATTATTTAAAGATAAAAATGTGCTTTGATGTGCCAAAGATAAAAACTTTAAAGATAAAAATCTGCCTAAAGGTGGCTTTTCGAAAACAAAAAGCTGTTAACTTGAATGAACTTAATACAATCGAAAACCATGAACATTTGTCTGTGGAAACCAATTCAATATCCCAAACGTTTGTGAATGCAAAATTTTGTAAAGCTGTTCTTCATTATTTAACACAATAATTTGCTTCTGTGTAGTGTTCCATGAGCCAGACTCGACACATCCACAAACTGTTTCTTGGAATAATAACGGTTCATTTTCTAATCGGAATTTTTAATTTTAATATGTCAGAGTAAAATTATATTTACATGTCTGTTTTGTTAGGAGTTCCAGACTGAAGTTTAGCTAATTGGTTTGGTTTATTTGGTTTATTAGATTACGGCAAAGCACTCGAGGGCTATCTGCCTTAAAGGAGGGATGCCTTCGTGGAGGACGTTTTAAGGGAAACTGGCTCGTATACACGATTTAGCTAATTGAATGTCAATGGAACTGTTTAATACATGGACTTCTAAACTCCTCGATGAGGTTACAGAGGTAATTTTCAAAATAATCACACAGTTACTTGATCTTACGTATCTTAATTAATTATTCGAAATCTGTATGTCTAAATTAATAATTAATATATATAACATTATCATTTAGTCAGGGGTACGGACGCACCAATTTTTTTCCTTTATACTTAACAACTGGCAAACTATTTCTATCGTAAACAGTGCGTACTCCATTGCCGAGAAAGACGCGAACTGAAATTCGTTTCCTTCTGAATAACTGTTTAATACATGGACTTCTAAACTCCTCGATGAGGTTACAGAGGTAATTTTCAAAATAATCACACAGTTACTTGATCTTACGTATCTTAATTAATTATTCGAAATCTGTATGTCTAAATTAATAATTAATATATATAACATTATCATTTAGTCAGGGTACGGAGGCACCAATTCTTTTCCTTTATATTTAACAAACTGGCAACTATTTCTATCGTAAAACAGTGCGTACTCCCATTGCCGAGAAAGACGCGAACTGAAATTCGTTTCCTTCTGAATTACAAATACATACATAAACATCTATAAATAAAATAAATCTATTTAATTAGAAGAAGTTGCGTAAAAGTTGTTTTAGTTTCACTTAGACATGCCATATATTTTTGCTCCTTTACATTTAATTTGAAGACACAGCATTAAAGGTACTCCGAACTCGTAGAGAATTTAGAATCCTAATTGTCGCTGACAGTAAAATTTAATGATTAACATAATTCTTCTATAACATCATCTTTTCTCCATATTATCATTATGTTATCACTATATTTTCAGCTTCTAAATTACTCGCATGATCACAATACTTCTTTCAATTATTCACCGAAACATCTTTAATAGCCTCATTTGTGAAAGTAATAAATTCGACATGGTTATTTCTGCAGTCGTGTTCTGACTTCGAACATAAATTTTTACTTTAGCTCATGCATACTCTTTGGCGTTTATATCACAATTATATGGTGGGAGACGCAGAACTGTATGACCTTTTTCTTAGATTATACAATCAAATTTAAACGTTTTGACTTTAGGAGCATTTTGTTTCTCTAAATCCAGCAGCTCCACTTTCGACACAAATCAGCAACTCCAATTCCGACAAAAAGAAATGTTTTTTGTCAGCCACTACATTATATCTTTCGTTTTTGGGGAGGCACAGGGGGCTTTGTTGAACTGCACCGAATGATAAGGTCCATTATCAATAATCATAACGAAATATGGCGGTAGGTTTGAAATTAACTTTTCGTTTGCAAATATTGAAGAATTCATTTGTCCGTGATAATCGCCAGTTGTAGAGTTCGATTTATAAATTAAGCTAGTATTGGGAATGAGACCCATCTCACCACCAGCACATAAAATTATTATGTGGCGAGGGGCATTTCTTGTTTCTAAAATCTCACTGATTTCATTTGGTTGCCAGCATTTTCCAAACGCTAACTCGCTGTCCACCCATGTTTCATCTTGTAAATTAGGGAACTGGATTCTTCTCTGTAACGCTTAATACTCCTCAAATATATTGTTCTTGAAAAAACAATGTCAGATCTTTCTAGTAAAGCACTTCATTTAATCCGGGACTTTTCCTGGAGAATTTCCCGGAGATTATTTCTTAGCGTTCCTCTTTGCCAAGGAAAATCGATTATGTCTTTTAATACAGGAAGCAGTCTGGCTTTAGTTGGTACTTTATTTTCCTTGACATAAAAGTCTTGAACTGTACTTCTTAAAATATCAAAATAAAAATTATAAGTCTGTGCTTGCAAGAGTTTCTCTCTTTTTTTAGGAGAAGAGAATTTAGCATTCAGATTCTTTACGAATTCTGTTTATTCTGACAATAGAAACGCCAGTCATCTTATTCGCTGTACGTGTTGGCTGTGTAACTGGGATAGTCAGTCTTGCTAACTGTGCTCTTTCATCACAAGCTTGCACTAATTATCACATTATTTATTATATTAATTCATTATGCACTAATTTGTTGTTATATTAACTCATTATGCACTAATTGCTTAAAATTGCTGTTGAAAGGCTTATTTTCAGAGCTTCCTGGAACAGTAGAATTCATAGTAAAAATGAAGATTTGAAAGTAAAAAGAAGGTCAGTAACAGCCATGCTTAAAGATTGTAAGAAAAAACATTAAATGACCCCTGAACTCCGAGAAGAAAAAATACCCGCGCTTTTTACCCACACCTCTTCGACCTACGAAAGGGAAAAAATATTAGCGGTTTTTATCCACTCCCCTTCAATTAAACCATGGAGGTAAGAAAGTTCCAATTAAACCATGAAGGAGGCCTAGAGCTATGAATTGATCCATCTTGGCCTTCAGCTAAACTGCTCTCGCTAGTGTGGATAGACAGTACTATTGCAGTTGCTAATAACATATTTTGATTGATTTTTATGAAAACCATCTGCATTCTCATTTATAACCTAGTCATTCGATGCTTCTGTCTTTGTTTTATCCTGCTGTTGATTGATGGTGTCGCTGCTGAGTAGGTGATAAATTAACGAGTGATGTTTTTGTGGCATTCGGAAGCATCTGAATTTCGAATCACGTTTTGCGGTTAAATGTACCTTAATAAAACAATTTAACACAATTTTTTAATTATCTTTAATTTTGATTTAATTTTTTAAATGACTCATATTTATGTAACGAATGATTATTATTTTTACGTATCACACTAGTCGGAGCACTAATATTTTTTTATCTGGAGTTTTAAGCACCAGAGCCTTTGGTTTTGAACTTCTGACATGTTTTGTCTAAAAAGAAATTAATTCACACAACATAGGAACTTCTGAATCATTAATCTTTAGTTAAAATTAGTTACGCGTTTCACGATCTAGCTTCTGAAATATAATATTTAATAACAGAACGTCCAATAATTTTTATTATACTTTCAAATATTCAATGCCCTTCCGTTTTTCGTAAAATTACCTGTTGCATAGCTTATACCCTTAAACTATTCGAAAGTTAAATTACGTAAATATTACCGACTTTATCTGCGTCTCAATTAAACTTCTTTTCTTTTAATACCCATCCCGAAGAGCTCTAAACACAGAATTAAAAGTATCATCAGCAGTTTCAAGGTATTTTTTCTTCACCAATTAATGCAGCGTTTTAATAACAATTTATTAACTTCTGTTGCCTGATTATCATACACAGTATTTTCTAACTCCAACTGAAAGTTATTTCATTCGATACATTTTTTAGAAAATTAGAAACTGGTAATGGTTTAATCCTAGTATCCGGTGCACACGGGATTTGGCTACTTTTGGCGACTTTATGATGAGCAGTAAAAACGGGACATATACTCGTACGATGAGTAGTTAACGGGTCATTCAAAGAATATATATAGTAAAATATAGTATATATTATGAATATACACACATAGTATATAGTGTATAGTATATAGACATTCTTTGGATCATTTTTGGTGTTGGCGATAATTTTCAAAATCGCGCCAAGCCTGCACCGTGTACTAAGATTTTACACTGGTAATTCTGAAAAACGTAATTTAGAATCGAATTTAATGCAGTTATTTTCATATTCAGAATTTACAATAGATGATAGAATGGCCATAATTCTTACCTCCAAAACTTCTGTTCTGTCTTCTGTTTCTTCATCGATTGTTTGAATCATCATCTATTTAGTCAAAACTTTCAAAATATCTGTTCTTTAAATTCCTGATGTCCATTTAAATACTTTGAAGCGATATGTATTTTATTTCAATTTCGTTTTTGTTTACACTATCATCAATTCGTTTTAACGCTGTTTTACTTCTCTCTAATGTTAACATTTAGTTCTCTACTTCGGCCAATGTACTATATTTCTATAATTCTAGAGAGTGGACTGTATAAAAACGAATGCTAAGTACTTTATTAATGGTAATTACAAATGAAGTACTACTACAAGCTCTTGCCTAGCAGAATCCAGTGACCAAGTGAATTTTTTTCCCTTTCTCCAATAGGCGGCGCTACATTTCACTCAACAAATATAAAAGGAGTTTCGGAATAAAAAACTTCGCTCTTCGCACAGTAAATTAGCAATATCTCAGTATTGATATTGGTAACTGAAACGGTTGGTATCATGGCTTGCCTTCAGAGCTGTATTTATTTGATTCTATTATTGTGCTTCATGGAAAACTTTCCCAAAGTTCGATCAGAATCTGAACCCGATGAATCTTACAAAAGACTTTATGACTGTGCTTTCAAACAAATATGCGAATGTGAAGGTATGTTTAAATTTAATTTTGTTGTATAATATAATGGAATTTATTTATGTATCAGGTATAATCCAGTTCCAGTTTTATATGTTACCTAATTTAATGACAATGCTTTAACAGTTGTTTTCGTTGATTTGGCTGAAAACGTAGGAAGCAAATGGAAAATTAAAATATATTAAAATAAGGTTTTAAAAAGGAGTGTTGGAAGCCAAAAATCCTCAAATAATGGTGATTTAAGATTTTTGCATTTTCAAATTCTTCTACACTTTTAGTTTCCGAAAAATACCGCACTTTAGTCTCCATGAAAAGTTTAGAACTGTAAGAAATATACTTTTAATTTATCATCGAATGCTTTGAAAATGCGTTTTTCTCCAAATGTGGTTTTTAATATACTCGATGTATGTTTTCTCAGGAAATACTGGCTCACATGTATGTAAATTGCTCATGGCTTATTTATTATGTTATTTACTAATTTCAATACTTACTAAAAGGAGCATTTTGTTATAAACAAAGCAGAAAAAAATTCACATTTTATTTATTTATTTATTTATTTTGTGAGAAAAGTGCTAAATTGTACTATTCCTAATACAATATGCTATTCAGTATAATCCGATAGGTGTACTTTAATTACACAAAAAATTTAAAACGTGTATCTACAGCAAATTGTGATGAAAAGTACATCAAAAATGGCCAGATCAACATTGTCGGTATAGTGGATTCCGACTCTTCGTAAGTAATTACTTTTTTCTGGTTTTAATGTATATGTCAGCGTAAAACGTAACATAGCAGTAGAAGCATTAAGTGCAAACAGGTATTTTGTTATTAATCATGTACACGATGTTTAAACCCGATACTTAACCAATCGATTTTAATTAATTCCTATTTAATGAGAATTTCATCAATCTTTAGTCTATCATTAAAGTAATTAAAACTCATTCTTATTTATGGGTCTTTTAAAGATCAGGATTGTGTTTTTGCCATAACTTGCATGGATAATATGTTTTTATTAACTAAATTAAAGGAAAAGTGATTTTCAAATGTCATCTGTACGTAAGGCGTGCTTCACACTTAAAGGGAGAAAGATTTCGGTTTTCCTGGAATATCTTATGCAGGGGCGGATAGGTGTGGTTGGACATACGCGGCCATTATGCATAAAAAAGGGCAGCAAGGCTGCCCCAGCATGTCACACAAAGGTGTCCGTCACTTTTATAACGTTTTTCGTTTATGCCATTAAACTATGCAGTCTTCATTAAAGACCTCTGAACCTTCATTAGGATACGGTGAATGCAACTTTCAACAAGATATAAAAACCAAGATATGAAGCTCTTTAATTTTAGTAGTCGAAGATACCTGCATCATTATGAACTATTAGGCTGATGGGATATGAAAATTTCCAGCTTTTACGACGTAAAAGAATATATCCAATATTTATGAATTTTCGACGAACCAATACGGGGCTAAAACAATAAATAAATGCATTCAATATAAGTTTTCTACCTTTCGATTATTTACCAGATCTTCCTTCTAGTCATATTTTAAAGTTTTCGTTTGGCCTGTCATTGAATCTCTTTCTTTCATTTAGTTTTAGCCCAATGGAGCAATTTACCCAGAATTTAATTTCGTTTTAGCATTTTGCGTCGGTTCACTAAATGCCGGTTAATTTTTCAGATTGTTGCCATCAAATACGATAGACTTCCATTATATTTAAAAAAGCTAAGTAATGAAGAATCTGCATGAATGTATGCATGCTTCTAGCACTGTGAAAAAACAAAACCTCATCAAACTTTGAATAACGTAGTTCTCCATTCGAATATGAGTATCTGGAAGCCACTATTTGGAATTTGTTTTGTTACCTATTTCATATTTTGTCAAACATTAAAGAATTTTTGTTTATTAAACTCAATGATTTCAAAGCAGGCAATGGATGGCAACACTGTACGAAAAGAAAAAAAAAATATCTCCAACACGCGAGAGTGCGTGTCGTTAATTCTAAAGGTATGCTCTTTTAAATATTTTGTGATATTTCTATTGAATTGAATTTTATTGTTTAAGTGCGAAGAACATCATGCTTAGTAAGACAAAATGTTAAAAAAACGCCCCCTTGGGCGTAATATAAAATCTGAAAGTTTCAGGTTTTTAAAATTTTAATTTTTAAATAGTATGCTTTCCAAATATAAGAGAAATTAAATATTAATTTTTAACAAATTTTAATTAAAAATATTTTGTTCGTGTTTTATTTATTTATTTTATTTAGTTATTTACCTTACTGATGTTTTCTAGGTATGAAATTATATTTATCGTTTCACCCATTTGTAAGCTATTGATATCAGATAATATGGCGGACCGATGGCCACCAGCGCTGCGGGAAATTTCTCGAATTCTGAATAATCCCATCCGCCTTTCATCTTAAGTACAGATATTGTTTCAAGAATCGCATTTCCATTGTTTACACATTTCCATTGTTTAGTCGAGAATAAAATTGTCGAAACTAAATAGTCGTCGTAATCTAAAAATAATTTTCTGATCCTTTTGAGTCACATACGTCCTTACGTTCATGGATCATCAAATATTTAGCAGTCTTTTAATAGGCAACTGTTAATTTAAAAAAAAAAAATTATTGATTTAGAAATGCGGATAAAAATATTCGTAGTTACAGTATTAAGGGTTGTTGGAAGCCAAAAACCTTCAAATAAAATGGTGATTTCGGTTTTTTGCATTTTCGAATTCTCTACATTTTTAGCTTTCTAAAAATACCATACTTTTATCTCAATGGAAATTAGAACTGTAAAAAATCTAGTTTTAATTTGTCATCGAATGCTTTGATAAATGGATATTTTACATAAAAATTCGTTTTTTCCACATGTGATTCTTTTTAAACTCGATGTACCTTTTCTCAGGAACTACTGCTCACAGTTATATAAACTTTTATGGCTTGTTTATTATGTTTCTTAATGGTTACTGAAATGAGTTTTTGTGTTAAACTAAAAATTTTCGCAATTTGTTTTGTAAGAAAAGTGCTAAATTTTACTGTGCCTAATACAATATTCTATATTCATTATTCTATATAGGTATAAAAAAATGGAACGACTATGGCACTTACATTTTTAACATCAAATTCAGTTACTAAAAAACATGTTTTCAAGCCAAAAATATTAATCTCTTTGCTTTTTGCAAAAATATTAATATGCCAGGCTTCGATTGGTAGAAATTTCGCAAAATCTCATGTATGTATACTCATAATCTTTTGAGATGTCGCGACGTTTCCTGCATATTAGACGATTTTTGTGTATTCTGTGACACAAACCATACTATATTTCAATGCAAATTTTCAAGGCACAAAAACTAACTAACGTGCGCCAAGCGACTGTGAACCAGGAGTGAGACTATGGAAATCGCTGGTGAGGTTGTTCGCCTTTATGTGCATAGAGGACTTTTTTTTGTATAAATATCGTGTCTTGTAAAGTGAATAAAGTATCTTTTGAAATGAATATATGTTGACAGTAGAACACATCTTTTGTGAACTTTCAGTAGAACACTTTCTCAAATCACGGAAAGTACAAAATAATTTCATTTAGATAAAAAAATGAGGTTAGTTTTCGTGTCTAAATATATGGCTAAGGAAATACAACAAAATAAAAAAGGGACGAAGTAATATCTGGGAAACAAAAATTTGAAAATTCAATAATATTAGAAACTGGTCATGAAGTTGCTATTTGTTAGCTAAAACTACAAGTATTCCTACATTGTTAGAAAGCTGTTGAACATTTTTAAGCCCTATAGACTAAATATGCATAATTAATAAGAGCCTTAATTATTTTCAGTACTTTAAACTATATATTTTAAATAACTAAGTTACGGTTAGACTAAAAGAGAAACACGCTAATGTGACAATCAAAATCGTAAAAACAACCTTGTATTTAGCGTAAGTATATTGAAACACTCAATCGATTTCGAGGACAGCTAGAGGTCCCTCCTCATCAGGAGAAAGAAATACGTAGAAAAAAGAAAAATAAAGGGGAAGGAATCTAAGAAACACGTGGTCCTTATCAGCACTGCACGTGGTTATAACCGGATTTTTAATCAGAGTTACGCTGGCCGCCTACTTTTACTGAGCCAGGCTATCTGATCAAACATGTAACACAAAGGACAAGAACATTAGCGAAGTTAAAAATAGGGAACGAGGGGCAACTGCACCTTCACGCTCAAAATCTGAACTTCGAATAATGGAAAGCAACCACTGAACGGATTTTTATACCCTCTGGTAGTACCAAACGCGAGGAGGTAACGCCATCTATCTGCAAAAAGAGTAACTGAATTAAGATAGTAGAATTTTAAAGGCATTAGGAAGGACAGGATTGGACTTAAAATCATTAACTAAACATGCTAAATCTTTGTGAATATGAAAAGCCTCAAGAAAATCCAATTCACCTATGGAAGAAGCCTTTTGGATAATTTTTGCAGACCCAAAGTCAAAATTATGGTTAAATGTCCAACTATGATACGCTATTGAAGACTTGTTAATTTCGTCTTTTTTGGCATAAGATTCATGTTCCTGGATACGAAACTTCAACGCTTTTTTTTTTTTGGCCAATATATCTTAAACCACACTGACACGATATACTATAAATTCCCCAAGAATTCAAGGCAGAAACGCAATCTTTTAGAATCGAAGGGTGAATTTTATTAATAGGGGAGAAACCGACTTGAAAATTGAATTTCTGGAGAATCCGTGCAATTTTATAGCTAACAGAAGGATAAAATGGAAGCACGACAAGGTCATTAATATTATTTCTAACAGTGGAATGTATTCTTTGATGGGAATCTGAAAATTTTTTAACGGCTTTATCAATAATCACGGGAGAAAATCCACGGTCAATCGCAACTGCTCTCAAATAATTAAGTTCATTGGCAAGCAAAGATTCAGAGGAACAAACTTTAAGCGCACGGAATACATAATAGTAAAAAGAAGCCATTTTTTGCTTAACAGGGTGGCATGACTTGGCATGGGG